CTGGGGTCAACAAGGGGTTCTCCTCTCCCAGCTGGGAGACCCTGGGCAAGTCATGAGGTCTCTGGGACCCTCAGCTCCTTCATCTGGAAAATGCAAACATCTCCCGCCCCGCCCCCCCCACCCCCAGCTCAGTGCCCACTGGAAGCGCTTTGTGAAGCACCACCCAGCGAGTGTTTTTACTCCACATGACAGCAGTCCTGGGTCAATGGGGTCAGTTATGGGGCTGAGGAGGAGAGAAAGGGAGGGTGGGAAGGCATGAGTGGGGACAGGATTACTCAGCTGCTCCCATTCTCTTGCAAAGCCACCCAGTGCCTGCAGATGAGGACCGCAGCCACAGTCACTCTTCAGTGTTTGAAGAAAGCCACAGCTGAGAGCCAGCTGGACACTGTGGTGGCCTCTTTAGGGGGAGGCCCTGGAGAAAGGCTCAGGTGGGCAATGAGGGAGGGCTGGGGCCATGGAGGGGGCCCCTCACCCCCCCCACCTGGCTGATCGAAGGGGGTGACCTTCTTGTTTTAAAAATAACAATAATGGAGGGCAAGAGTGGGGGTGGTGGAGCACAACACAAGGGAAGGGTCTCAGTTTCCACGGGGCAGATGGCCCAAGAGAGTGAGTACAAGGCCGAGCTCCTGACAACTCTGTACCGGGCTGGAGCCTTTAGGAAGGGAAGGGGGGAGGGGACAGGATGCTCTGGGCGCTCCTGATGAGGAGGGACCCTCACACACCGCCCCAACATTGGAAACCCCCAGAACCAGGACACTCGAGCCGGACCTCACTCCACAGAGATTGGAGTGGACCCAGGACCTCACACCTGCTCAGACACCTGCGAGGGGGTAAAGGACATGGAGTGGGCAGACGTGGGACGGCCACGCAGACGTGCAGCTCTGACACGATACAGGTGACGGGGCCAAGGTCTGCGCGTGGGGTGGGCTGTGATGGGGTCACTACGGGTTTCTGCAGGTGAGGGATGGGAAGGGACATCGAGGTGGCAGAGGAGGACAGGTGTATTGCATCTGTAGGCTAAGAACTTCAGTTTGCCAATTCCTCATCCATTCCTTTCTGCATTTCATGGGCTGTGTCCTCTCGAGGATAAAGTGCTTGGCTGTCTCCCCGAAGAATTATGGCACAGAAGGTTCCAGGCAGAGAGGATGGTAGGGGGAGAAAGGAGGAAAGAGAGTAAAGGGGAGGGGATATGGGAGTGGGTAGAAGAAGGTAGTGGAGGGAAGAAAGAGAGGAGAAAGGGAGGGGTGAGGAACAGATGAAGGCGGAGGGAGAGGAGGAGGGAGGGGAGGAGGGAGGGAAAGAAATGTCCTTCCATCAAATACAACAAACTGAAAGGATGCGTCTATCTCTGTCCTGCCCAAGATAACAAGTAGGAGAAGTGCACAGACAAACATGGAAAGGTGGCCAAATGGGAACAGACTTCAGAGTGGACTGAGCAGAAACCAAACCACCTATCAAAGGAAGCCAACAAAACTGATTCCATTTGTGCCTCAGAACCTGGGAAAGACTCAGGAATTGGAGGCACCATGCACTTCTCAAGATGAGACCGAAAATTGGAGGATGGGTTGAAAGTCTATGGAAGAGACAGTCAGATCAGCTTTCCTCCCTGAGCCCCTCAAACAGGACCTCCCCCGTCCTGAGACAGGTCTGCTCTCTGCAGAAAATGAGCCGGAGAGCAGGGCTCTGGATGGGACCACGAGGGCACAGCTAGGGTCAGGCGAGGGCTGGAAACAGGATGTCGTGAACCATCTCTTGCTCACTCAGTACCCAGGACAGTGACAGGCAGGCACGTGCCCCCCACCCCCACCCACTGGAGAAATTAAACAGCCCAGCCCATAAGACACGCAGTACTGACATTTGGGGAACCCCCAGCAAAAGGGCCCTGTCCCTGCCAGCTCACCCTGCAGGAAGGCTCACCTGCCAATGCCAAACACAGAGCATTCAGTCTGCTTTTTACGGCTTCACTTGTAAATATGAATGCACAGCCAGAATCCTCAGCCATTTAAAGAAAGCCTCTAGTGGAAGGCACAGGGACAGAAATAAGTGGGGGAGAAAAAGGAAGTCTCAGACAATGCAAGGAGCAGAGAAACTTTCAAACAAAATGAAACAAAAACTACTCTCAGGGAGACAAGATATTGCAATCCTAAAACTGGAACATTTACAAACTATTATAAAAAAAACACTTAAAGGGGCGCCTGGGTGGCTCAGTTGGTTAAGCGTGTTACTCCTGATTTCGGCTCAGGTCATGATCTCATAGGTTGTGGGATCCAGCCCCGTCTGATGGGTTTCTCACTCTCCCTTTGCCCCTCCCCCCCACCCCGCCCTCTCTCTCCACTTCTCAAAAACAAAAACCCAGAAAAACCTCTTGGAAATAAAATAATAATAATACATAGATAATATATAATAAGTTAAAAATTCTAGAGAGACCGGAGGTTTTCAACTATATACATGATCTATCAATTAAGTTTTTAAAAATCAAGGGAAGCCCAGTAACCAAGGCAGTGTGGTAACGGCAAAACCACTGAGAAACATACCAATGGAGCCTAACGGAGCCCAGAAATAGTCACGTGTATAAGGACAGCTGATGTTCAACAAAGGACCAAAGACAGTTTAGTAGAGAGAGGATTGTCTGTTCAACAACAGTGCCAGGAC